CCGGAACCGGCCCGGCCCTGTTACTGTTTGAACCGGCCCGGGGGGCGGTTCGGGTCGGCCCGGCCCGGTTACTGTGCGGTTCGGGCCCAGGCCCTTTGATTGGCGAACCGGCCCGGCCGGTTCAGGCCAAATTAATTTATTTATTTTTTTGAATTCTTTTAAGTTTTTGGGTTGGGCTTGGTATTTTGGGCCATTTGAGGTGGTTTGGGGTGGTTTGGGGGTGAGGGGGGAGGATTATGGGTTAATTAGGAAAAGCCAAAAAAAAAAAAAATAGAACCGAGCTAGGCCCGGCCCGGCCCGGACCCGGGATTACCCGGGCCGGTTCCGGGCCTCCCATTTCTGAACTGAGGCCCGGCCGGGCCCAGGCCCGAACCGGGCCCGAACCGGAACCGGTCCACCCATAGGGATGAGATTATTTCCAAAACATTTATGTGGCAAATTTTAAATGGTAAGAGTCACAAATAATCAGATTATTTTAAAATCACGAATGTGGATGCTCTAGTAGATTTAGACAATCAGACTCCGTATAATATTCATAATAATAGACCTTATACTAGATTTAGGGAGTGTTTGCAACTGCTTCTGCTTAAAAAAAAAGCATTTTTGGAGAAGTAATGAAAAAGTGATTGGTAGTAAAAGTTGATAATGTTTGAGAAAAAAGTGATTTTGAAAAGTAAAAATTGGTAGTGTTTGGTAAAATAAGTGCTTTTTGTGTAATAGAAAAGGGAAAAGCACTTTTCACACGCAAGCCGAGAAAAAGTAAAAATTGGTAGTGTTTGGTAAATAAGTGCTTTTTAAAGCCAAAAGCTGAGAAGTGCTTTTTTTTAAGCAGTTGCAAACACTCCCTTAGACAATCATACTCCGTATAATATTCATAATAATAGACCTTATTCAATTTAACTCAAAGAGATTACACCAATTCAAATTAGACCACATCAGATCAATCTAGTCCGATCACAAGGCGGAGTATAACAAGTTTGTGAAACATTTCAATCATATGCGCTGGTTCGTTATTAAGTGTTCCCTGTGTTCTTCTCTTATTAAACTAAATTTATCAGTTTTAATTCTTTTATTACGAATGATTTCTTATTGTACAATCATTCACCAAAACTTGAAATAAATAAATAAAAAACTTTCATCTTAGTACTTTCTGTTTTATGTATATATACTTCTTTGGGAAGAAATGAGGAATAATATGAGATTTAATTTTAAATTCTAAATGAAGAGTCAAGAATGATATTTGGTTTCAGAAACAAAATGGAAAAGTAAAACTCACGTTTTTGTTTATCCATGCATAGGGCCACCAGAGTTTTTCAAAAAATAATGGTATAACCTATAAAATCATTTTTCTCGAATGTTTGTGAAAAAATCATTATTGTTTTCTTTTATATTCATTGATTGGGTTTTATCATCATGTGGATAATAAATGAGCCTTTATGTTGATGGAATCTGATCTCTTCTACTAAAAGGAGAGGAAGCATGTGAATTGTACGCAGGCAGCATAGCTCATACATGGGGTTGTGGTCCTTTAATTTTTGTTAATTTATGTTTATGTTGTGGCTTTAATTTGTGTGAATTTATGTTTATGTTGTGGCTTTAATTTGCAGGGCTATTAATTACATATATTATACTAACAAGCAAAATTCGACGTTAAACAAAAAACGTGCAAATACTATAATAAAAATTAAATGTGAGTCATAAAAGAACTAGATTATCCTAATTACTTCAGAGACTATCTTAATTTAAGGCCCTGACCAAATATCATCCACCTATGTATTTTGGGTTGTTTGGAATAAATTATACTTCTGTTTCATTTTTAAAAGTAAAAGTAGAATGAGAATCAATTTTTAAAAAATTGTTTTTAACAGCGTGAAGCATTCAGAAGTAGTTTTACATGCACTTTAATCCAAACATTCCCGTATGTGTTTTTGTTCCTTGCAGTAAGGGAATCAATTTTAAGAAGTATATCGAAACACTCTCTTTCATATCGTATCCCGAGGTAGCTTAAGTAACTTAGTTATACTCCGTACTACGTAATAAAGAAGATACGTAGTAATTATTAACATTATGCCCGATAGTCCGATACTTGGGACAAAATAATAAAGATACTTGTTGAATATTATTATCTCCATTCCAAATAGATTTACAAAATTGACTTTCTTTTGTCAAATAATTTCTTTTTATAAATAATTACATAAATATGACCAAATTAAAGATGGTTTACAAAAATATGACTAGTTACTAGAGTAGTAATAAAATCATAGTAATTCATATTCAAGTTTTGAACTTATGTTACCACAAGTCCACAACACTACGTTGTAGTAATGAATAGTCATAATTACGTAAATAAGTTTTATTTTAATAATATTCTTGTAAAAAACCTTTCCTTTTATTCACTTAATTATAATACCAATTTATAATGATATTCTAGTTTGAGGTTTGTAACTTTGAATAAATTTTAATGTAATTTCTAAATATGTAAATTTTTATTATTAAAAGTTGAATTAATATTTAATAAGGAGGATTTGACTTTAACTTTAATTGACAAAAAATATTGGTTTTACAAATCAATTTGAACAGAGAGATACTTCGTTAGATTATTAAATTTTCAATAAAGTAATACGGAGTATGTCTTTGTTATTTCCCATTTAAGGCGCTGCCTTAAGAATTAATCAACCCATTTTCACGATATTTTGTCATGACCATATTCGATCATTTGGCATCTAAGTTTCACCTTCGAATCTGGACCACCCCTAAAGCTGCAAAATCTGAACTACCACCATTAATGTGTTACTTAAATTTTTGCTTTTGCTTAGACCTAATGAAAGACTCCTATCCATTTCACCTTTACAAAAAGGACGCGATATCCTAATTCCTACAACACATCGAATTCTGTCCAAATTAGGAATTAGGATAGGAGTGTGCTTGCTTGTTGTTACATAATTACATTTACTATTGTTGTGTTGAATCCAATAACATTCTTTAAATCATTGGATCAAACAATACTACTACCTCCGTTCTTAAATAAGTGTAACATTGCAAATTTTACACTATTCACATGTTCCACTTTGACTACATTTTATTTATTGATGTATTAATATATATTTTTGAAAAAAATATTACTAAATTTGTCTCATTGTAAATTTTCAAAATCTGATTTTTTAAATCTTTTTACTAATAGAGATTCGTATATATTAATCGTCAAAGTTGTGCCTCGACAAATGTGAAATGTTGACTGTTGCACTTATTTAAGAACGGAGGTAGTATTACTCAAAATTTTAATTATTAAATACACTGAACAGCCAAATTTGTGTTGCTTAATCTACGGCATCTAACTCGTAATTTACCAATACATCGAGATTCATAGCAACCTCAGCAACTTCCAACTTGGATTGAGATCCTAAGCCATAAGGTAGAGTGTCCTGCTCAAATGAATAGCAGGGGTTAAAACCCACGTCTCGAGATTTGGGTAAAAAATTGGACTCTTCATATCTTATTATCCTTTTTTTATCTGAGTGCTTAAAATAGCCAGACACCCTCCTAGTCTGCTTAATCCATGCAGAGACGTCGGATCCTGTTGCGTAAGTTATGATCTTCAAAGCAAAACCAAGAGGACAGGAGGGTTTAGAATATCATCAGTTGGGGATAAAAAAACCCTCTAATTTTGTCTTCGACAACTCGAACACAAAACTTTGAGAAAATATTGGAAATGAAGTTTGAGATTGATCACATGTTGGAAATACATGTATTGCACATCAGGGGCATATCTACCACAAGGACAACCTTCCCGAGTGAATTTTAAGAACATAACACTAAAGGTATGTTTGGGAGTTTGGAGGGAAGGGGAGGGGAAGACTTTAAAGGTTAGTTCTAGGAGGGGAAGGGGAGGAATTCGATTAGGAAACCATTCTTCTTGATAGACAGTTGCAAATTTGAATAAAGATGAGCTAAGAAGGAACTATAATTAAATCACTTCACATACATGATGAATTCAAATACTTGAATTTACATTTATTTAAAATTGAGATAAAGTTGTCATTTAAGTTCCCAATTTGGAGGAACTTAAAAATTGAACAACACACAATCACCTAAATTAAAACTTTAATTATCATTCATAATTTTTTTTGGGGAGAATCATTCATAGACTTAAAAGATAGCACTACAACATCACAAATTATTAAACTGGTTACTATACATATTTGTCTATGAAAATAATTTTAAGCTTAGTAAATATTAAAATATAAGTAGACGTAACATAATAAACGAATATGTCACACTTCATTAAGTAAGAGTTTTTGTTTACAAAAAAATATTAAAAGAAAGATTGATGCATTTGAAATAGAGAATTGAGGAAACTAATTTAGAAGTTTAGACTTTAGATGGACTTGTAAACTCTTTTCAATAGACTGACCGATTTCTTTAATTGAAAGTCTTTGTGTTAGATACAAGAATATGAATAACTTCCGGGATTTTGTTAGTATATATTATCATATATGATATATCATAATAGAATTTATTAAATTACGGAGTGATATTTTAAAACGTTTCGATCCAGATACCTGTTTTTTCAAATTTTAAAACTCGTTCTATTTCTAAGCTTCTAAGACTCTTGCCTGTAATGATAAAAAAAACTCTTGTCTGTGTTTTTTACACAGACAAGAGTTGTCTGTGGTACACAAACAACTCTTGTCTATGCCCATAGACAATTCCGTACCAATTGTCTGTGACCGACATTTTGTGTACAACTTGTGTGCCCCTAGTATTTCCGTTTTTATTATTAGGAAAATTCTTAGTGTACATGACTTGTACACAAATTGTACACCCCTCAATTGTCTTTGTACACATGCAATTCATTTAAAAAGACAACATGATTTGATGTCAAATTGTCTATGTAGATAAACAATGTACAAATTTTGTATACATGTGTACACCAAAAATGGTTCTTATTATTTTTTCTTTTAAAATAAAAATGGTCATTATTATTAATACTCCGGAATCAGTTTCAGTCTTTCTCAGTCCCCTTCCTCCCGCAATGAAACAGAATACATAAAAAGCCTCTAGCTCACCATTTTCTCTGCAAATCTTTTTCCCCTCTTCTGCAAAACCCTGTCTTCTTCTTCCTGATCGCATCCATGTGGCATAATCGAACTAATACCAAGATTAGGGTTCTTACTGATTCTTGCTCCACTTTCTCCTTCAAAGATATACAAACCCTATTCGCCGACGATCCGACCCGACTGAACAACCCGGCTCACTTCTCCAAACACTATATCATTCACCGGGTCCGCCTCGCCAACGCTCTCCTCCGTGCTCTATCCCCTCAGCCGGAGCCCTTTCCCGTTCCTCAATCTCTGCCGGAGATCTCTCTCCCGGGATCCGAGAAGCAAATCGTCGTCTACTCCACCAGCCTCCGTGTGGTCCGCCGGACTTTCAGCGATTGCAGAGATGTCCTCTCGATCCTGCGGAGCTACCGCGTTTCGATCGACGAGCGGGATTTGTGCGCCGACGCCGGATTCGTGGACGAGCTGCAGAGGATTCTCGGCGTCCGTGAAAGGACGAAGTTAACCTTGCCGCAGGTCTTCATCAGGGGGAGGTACATTGGCGGCGCGGCGGAGATCCGGCGCCTCCACGAGGCCGGGGAGCTGAAGAAGTGCGTGGAAGGTCTTCCGCCGGCGAGTCCCGACGCGTGCGAAATGTGCGGCGGCCACAGATATATCCTCTGCGACGAGTGTAGCGGAAGCCGTAAGGGCTTCTGCGGCGATAAGCTCGGCGGGTTCAGCACGTGTACGGCGTGCGGTCAAAGTGGTCTGACCATCTGCCCGTCTTGTGCGCCCTTCTGAGCCGTCCGATTTGGATTTACTAGGTGACGTAGAATTAGATTTAAAAAAACGATTTGTACCACTTTTGTACACATAAACTTATATTCGTATATTAGTCCCTGGGTCTGGAAATAATTGTATGGTTCCTTTTAGCACAAATTTTAAGAAAGTGATTAAAAATGTAAAAATTATAATTAAGATTTGAGTAGAGAAAAAATTAATAAAGAAAGAGAATAATTATTTTGAGACATTTTAAAAAACAAGACAATTAATTCATGATGGAGAGAGTTAATATGTGTGTAAATAGCTAGGTTTTTTAGTATAATAGTATGTTCACAAACAAAACAAATTGTATCTAAGAAGAGACTATTCACTAATAAACAATAATTGTTCACCGACTTATAGGGGTGGCAGCGAATCAGATTTATATCGGGTAAAGGTTCATCCACATCCACCGGTTAATTTTTCATGTTTCACCCACCCTTCCATCATCCATTAAAAATTACTCCGTACATTCACATCCAACTCATCCATCATGAACAGATTATCAGGTGGATCGGGTGAGTAACGAGTGAATATAAATGGTCTAAAATGAATGTCATGATTATATATATTTTAGTTTGTCCTACTTTCCTTTTTGGATTATCCCAAAATGAATGTCTTATTTCTTTTTTTGGCAAAAAATATGTGGTTTTAATCATTTTACTTTAGTATACTCAAATATCAACCACAACTTTTATTTTTCAACCACTTTATTAATAATCGTGCAAATTGAAAGTGGACAACCAATATGAGACGAAGTAGTGCTTTTTAATTGGCAATTTGCATTGCCCCACAAGTTTTGCTTTTCACAGTTTGGTCCTCAATTTTTTTGTTAAAAAAAAAGATGACACCCCATTCCTGAGGGTCCCTTAACACCGACCGGACGACACGATGAGAGGATGTAAATTGGACTATAATCACAATCTGATAGATGGAGAATGGGTCTCTGTCCCTGGTACTTGCAGAGGTTCTATGCATTTTTCAGCATAGTAACTCCTCATCGCAGTTGCCGGGATTTGAACCCGAGACTTAACCCTTGTGGCACTCCCTTGCTACCAGTTGAGCTACGCCCATCGATCTCAATTTTTTTGTTTATCTTACCAAAAGGTGTTTGTTAGTTGTGTAAAGCAGGAGAGCGTAGGAGTGTGTAGGGGCAGTAGGGCCATACCAGTCTGGACTCATGATTTGGGTGGTCGCATAGTCTGTGAGAACATGAAACACGTGATAATGTTACATTCGTATAATACCGTTATACGAAATAATAAATTCAAATACCACTATATTTGTCTATGAATAAGGAACTCCGTACAATACTCCAACTTTATAGTCTCTATGATATCCTATTGAAACAATAACTATGGAGTATTTTTTTTGGAACTGAAATTTAGTTCTATTCATATCATAAGTTTTATGATCATTACATTAATCAAAGAAAAAACAAATCTGACATCAACTAAATTCCAACAATTACGACTATAAACCCTATGATCAGATTTAGAAACGATCACCCCCTGAAGAGAACACGAATCGCTAATCATGCAGCGGGCTTGACACAATCATCCATGTTCCCATAGATCCAAACATATCCAATGATAGAAAAATAGCCAAAATTCCCAAGCAAACTGAAAACCCTAACAACATAGATGGTAACAAGAAACCAAATCACAAAATAATAAAAACTAATAGGAAGAGGACGAAACATGAAAGAAACTAAATAAGCAAATCAAGTATCTTGAACCCTAGCATCTCGTTCAACCCCTGACGGTTGTTCAGGAGGAGGCCAGACCATCGTTATGATTGTTGACACAACAAGGAACGGCTCCCGCCGGTCGCTCAATTGATTCCTTGACGCGCAACCTCCGTTTTCCCCGCAATTTCAGCCCCTTTGGACGCCCCCCTTTCTCTCTCCCTTGGCTCCCGCATCTCCTTCTTCATCGGCCGCCATAGCACGCCTAGCGATATTTCTGCGAACATTTTCCTTCTCTACTAACCTAATCGTCACACCAAAGGACGAATATATATAAACGCCTGCACACAAGATAGCAAACAACTGGAAACCCTTGTTCAAGGGAGATGGCCGTGGGCCGTGGCTAGGTTTTGCTCTCTTAGCATTGAAACAATAACTATAAAATACGTATTATATCATATTGGTACACAAAGGAAAATTATAATATCTTTAAATATATTCTGAAATCATGCATAGTCTAGTCTCATCTACTCCGTATTATTTTCTCGTCCTTTATAAATATTTCAAGTTTAATTGACAAGCAGAATAATACTACGAAACATATAAAGTCGAGGAAGTGTATAAGAGTGAAATACACTAAAAATCACAAATTAAATACTTAAATAAGAAAGTGGGGGATTTTTTAACTAAGAGATTTTGACAAATATAGGAACGGGCATGTAGGGTGACTGGCAGGGGCGGACCCAGGAAGTTTATCTTGGCAGGGCATGTAGGGTGACTGGCAGGGGCGGACCCAGGAAGTTTATCTTGGGAGGGCGGTAACTTAAAAAAAATATTTTTTGGGAGGACGAAAATTATTTTTTGATATACTTCGTATATATACACTAAATAAATTTTCTGTTGGAGGGGCGACTGCCACCCTGGGTCTCTGCTACGGTCCGCCCCTGGTGACCGGTGAGTCAGTGGGTGAGGGATTTTTTCGCTGTACAAAAAAACAATTACTCATTGGCTATCAGCCTATCAGCCTATCAAATGTTCAAGGGGATAAACTATTTCTGCATATTTAAGAACATGAAGGAAGGAGATGGCATTAAGAAAGTGATGGTTTGACAAGTTAGTCATTATTGCTAGCTAATTTGGATGTGTTTGTAGTGGTGACTTGAGTTTCATTTAATTATATGGACTCTAAAAAATTCACCATAATTTTTTAGAGAGATAAATCTGTTTAACTAATTTGTCAGGTTCCCACCGTTATCTATACACCAGTGTGTATAGGAAATTGCTCTTAATTCATTGATTGCGGGTGCTCGAAGATTCCTAAAAAAGCTCTCGAGACAACCGCCATTAACTCGTTAAACACAATCACATTCTCAACAAAAGTAACTCTCACACAATCGTTTGACTCGAAATGAAACATTGATTGTGTTTGAAGGGTCATCATTAAAAAAAATCTCTCAGATTCGTCTCCTTGATTACTTGGACTCAAGACTTCGAACAATGGGATGATCTTAATTGTAGTAGGGGTGAACATATCGATTTGCGGTTCGGCTTTTATCGATTTCATTTTGGTTCAATTTGGAACAAATTTGAATTTTTTTACCAAAAAAAATATGATATTTTTTGGTTTTATTCGGTACAGTTTAGTTCAGTTTGACTCGGTTTGGATTTTTTTGATGACGTATGATGATTTTATTGAGTTTCTTTAGTTCTGTTCGGTCTTATTCAATTGTTCTCAGTTCAATTTAATACGATATGGAATAATACTACCAAACTCGAACCAATGTGCAAATGATTCGAATTGAATTCGATACAATTCGATTCTATTAAACCGAATTGATATGTCCACCCGTAAGTGTCCGTAGTAGACCAATTCGACCAATCCCAAGTCAAAGCTAGCTCATTTGATGAGCGAACATAGACGACACCCAACGTTACCAGATGAATGCATGTTGTCTATTTCTCGATTAGTTTGTATAAATGTACTTTTTAAAAAATTCAACTATAAAATTTTAGTTTTGGTTCTCCAATGATTATTTTTTTGGCGCTTGAAATTTCTTCTATTATGGTGTTTGGGAATATTGTGAAAGTATTGTGTTACATTCACAATTTAGTACTATGATCATTGTCCAAACACTGTTGGCATATCGAGTGGAGACTGACTTTATTGTAACTTCTACCATTATGGCATTATCCAAGGATCAAAGGTAAAAAAAAAGTGTCTATTCGCATATAATTTTTTATTCAGTTTACTTAACATCTTGTCCAAATCATTTTTTTTAATTGATTATGAGTCTCCAAGGATTCACTTACCTAAAAATCTTAGAACAAATGAATTTACACAAGGAAATGTCTCAATTAATTATGCTACCTAAATCATTCCCAGCACATTTCGTGAAAGAGTACTGACTAATTATTGATCTTGTCATATTTTCAATTAAATGCAGAAGCCAAAATATGACAAGATCATTGTATTATTTGTTCGTGTGATGGCAACGAATTAAGTTAAAGTTAATAAACAATGAAATGATTTCACCCATATATTTAAATAAGAGTAACTAGTCTCACTCATGCGAACCAAACATTCCAGGCCAGCTGATTGTGAGGTTATCGTGCCTAGTGGGAGGTTTCGAGTTCGAAACCCGCTAGACACATAAGGGTTTGGAACTCAATGAAGTGAGTTTCAACCCTGATTACTCCAGGCTCCCCAACTCCCTTCCCCCAGACCCCCCTGGAATAAAAAAAATCTTACACTCGTGCATGCGTTGCACGGGAATACGGAAGCAATAAAAAGTGACAATTAATACACATGAACTATACATTACTCATTATGTTTTAAAGATCATAATTATAATTTTAATAATTAAATAACATTGCATATCTTAGAGAACTATTTAATATGTAAATCTTTGACAAATCCAACTAAAAAGTATCTAACCATGTAACACCTTTGGCAGTAGCTTACATTATTTAACAAAAACCAAAACAAATAATTTATTTTCTTTAGAAATACAAATATATATTATGAATGTATTCTCATGCAGAGTAAATTTACTACATTCATCCAAGCATACATGAAATTTGATAAAAATACTTTGATCACATCTAAATCAAAAAATAACTATTAATAACTCAATATATTCTTCTCTATGATGTAATAATACCCAATGTAGAGGCTTAGCAATTTGATGTTTACCTTTTGTGAAAAGAATGTCTGATGATCCATTTCATCCCTGAAATTGGAAACAAACATCAAAGTTTGTAATTAACAACACACAATCACACATTGAAGCTCTTGCATTAGTAGTATGTGATGTTCTATATCTTCAATGTCAATACCTTATACCGTCCGTGTATATGAGTTTCATCAATCTTGAAACGAGAACTCTCTTCTGAACAGTATACCCAACATGTAAGGATGCACTCGATACCAGATCTCGACTCAGATTAAGACATAACTAAATATGATTTTGTTCCAACTTCCAAGAACTGTGTCAGAATATATTCAATTATGATTCTATTCCATCCTTCGAAGATCTAATATAATTCCATACATGGTTAATGGCTGGTAAATTGGTATAGCATCCATATTGCACATGAACATAACGGAGTTCACAACATGTAAATTCTAAGGTTTGACCGTCTGGCCGTATCCCTCCAATCATAATGTAAAGGCATAATTCCTCAATAGTAAGTAGGGGTGGACTCGGTCTGGAAATCAGGTCTGGTACTGTTTGGGACCAGACCGGATCCGGATTTTTTTGTTTTGGGCCTGGGATTGGCGTTGTCCGCCAAGAGCGGTTCACGGTCCCGCTTCACCTATTTGGGGTATGAACCATGCAATTCCGATCTTGATTTTGGTCTTAGACCGGCCATTTTTTTAAGCTTGAAACCGGGTGAAAACCAAAAAAAAAATATAACATGCCTGGATCCAGGACCTAGCTAGAATCAGCCTAGACTCGGAAAATGACGGGTCAATCCTAGGCCGAATCAATTTTATTTGGACAGGCAGTCCCGATCCAGAACTAAGACCAGACCGACCTGGGTGCATCCCTAATAATAAGATGCCAAAAGCATTCCCATTTTGTAGGACTGAACTTCAGATTTTTTTCTAGTGAATAAAACTTACAGACAGCTTGAATTACACACCAAGGCTTTATATTAATGCTGATATTAATTGTCCATGCATTTAACGCGTTTGTTAGTTGTTACTCATTCTGTAAACTTCACACGTTGACTTTGGACAATTCTGTCATGTCTGATCAACACTTATAAAACACTTATAAGAAACATGTCGAAGTTACATTATCACAAACAGAAAGCATAAAATAGCAAAGGAAACAGCTTCCGTTCATTGTTATTATACACATGTGACATGTACAAATCTGCGATGAGCTTTTAAGGGTCTTGTATCGCAATTCAGAACGAAGCTTCTTTGGCAAACAAGATTCACGTCTCGTGTACCCTAGAGAAGAAAAAAACGTGCCAACCCCCCATAAAAAGAAAAAAAAATCAGTACTTATATGTTCAGTCCGGAAGGATCAATGCTTTGTTTAAAATATGCCACACCCAAAAAGCAGATTCTTCAATCTTCAGCATGTCATGTGTTTTTTGCTTTCTGTGAAATTCTAGTCTTTAGTTGAACAAACTAATTTTTTCCCATTGTCAGGATCCTAAGCGGGCCCAGCCTGCCCGTAATATGTACACACACCGTCGAGGGTAAACCCCGTTTCGCCCCTGAACCAGTGTCATCGTCATCATTGCAGACCTGGTTGCTGTTTCAGGGAAAGAAGAAGCTCAAACCCTCTGGCTGGCTGCTGCTATTAAGGGGTGGATTTGTCTAGTGTACGGTGATAGAGATCGAGGGTGTCTTTGTGAGAGGGATCCAAACAGAGTGCTGCTTCACAATCTCTGAGAGCACAAGTTTGATCACCCATTGACTCATAGAAGGCAGCTCTAAGGTTGAGCATTTGCAAATCTGGTTTGAAAGATATGGCTCTTGTCAGCTCTTCCACTGCTTCTGCTTCCATTTGGTCATCCATGAGCACTGATTCCAAGCCATTTCATGATATTATTATAACAAAAAAAGGAAATAGAAAAATTGATAAATTACCGTAACGGTAATGACTTGAGCAGTGATAAATTAGGCTGATAGCAACTACTGTTAGAAAGGAGGTATAAGAAAAAAGTTAAAATGGGGAAAAAGTAATGTTTTAGGTCACTTAGGTACTCGTGATTGGTTGGGCCTGAGGCCAATTTTATTTTATTTTAAAAAAAGGACAGTTTGAAAAGATCACGTAGTTTGCCAAAAAAAAATTAAGTTTAATAAATGTAATTCAACTAACAAAGAAATTCAAAATATAAGCAGGAAACCAAGTGTTTTAGCAGATGTACATTTCCAAAATACAAGGTTAAACTTGATAATAATGACTTGATTTGACTTCTATGTCACTTTACCATTGATCTCTATTTGATCTTTACCAGGATTGGGGTTGTAGGTCAGGTCCTATTAAAACCCAACAATACTCACAAACTTTGAATTTTTTTTATAAAAAGAAGATTTTGAAAAGACCCTTCTATTATACTGTTATTTAGTAGTCCAACATATTTGGAGTTTCCTAACTAGGAAACAGTAGAGGAGAGTAAAAATAGTAAAATACCAGCTGCTCTATATCTGTAAGGGTACGTTCTTAAAGGATCCAGTTGTGTTGCCATGCTGAGGTCATTATTTGCCATGTCACGATCACAATATTCTGACCGTTTCTCGTAAGCTGAAGCCTTGTTTTGTGCCTTCTCTATAAGCTTTGTCATTTCAGCATAGGCAGATTTCTTATCTTGTTTTAGATAATAAACGCGTGCTAATCCTTGATGTGCCCTTGTATGCTTGATTTCTAGGGCACTTGAGTAGCAATGTGCGGCATGATCCAGCTTTCCACAATCAACGTAGATACTCCCTAAGTTATTCAGTGCCTGCCAAATGATTTCGCACATGAGTTGCAACTATATACACATCAATATGAACTGATTACTGATATGCTGCTTGCCTGAATCGCAACCATCCTATCTCTTTGGATGGGCATCAGACAGTCGTAATCATTATTGTAGCCAGGGTCCCGAAATTAGAGTTCATTGAGCCGGAAAATTTATTCATTCATATAATTTTTAGTTTAAAAAAAATTGGATTTGGGTAGGCCAAGCCTTTCAGGCCTGGGTAGCCACCAGCTACAATACTGATTGTCAGACAACAAGAAGTGATCAACCCACATATGATCACTTGTTGGATGGCAACTATCCGATTACGATTGTGACAAGCAGTGGTCCCCAACTCAAAGTAGGAGAAGTTGGAGGGGACATACTTGTCCCTTACGAAGACCGTCTGATGGGCATTTAAGTGCCTCCTCTAATAGTTGAATCACATATGATGATGATTCAGAATCCAGAGTTGTATCAGCTAAAGCATAAGCTTTAAGGAAGAAGGCTTCAAATGATCTCTGGATAGTTATTGACTCCTCAGCTTTCAAAAGTGCTTCTTTGCGGTGCCCTGTATCATATAGAATCCATCCTTCATATACTAGTCTTTCGCACTTGGAGGTAGAATGATTAAGTGCCAATCTCAAGCTCCTCATTGCAGCCTTTTGACAGTTCAACCTACAAGTTAGTTGAACATTTAAAGAAGTTACCAGTGTGTTAAATTGGATCTAACTCAACTTAAAAGAAATCTCAAGAGGTGAGGTTTGACTAACCAACACTTCCTCCATCCCACACTTAGATTCCCACTTTGAATGCCACACACAGTGGCGGATCCACCGCTGTTTAAGGGTGTTCACTTGAACACCCTGAACTTTCAAATAACCATTACTAAGTACGGAGTAGTATGTATTATGTCCAGGTACTAGAAAAATTACTTATTATGTCCAGGTGCTAGAAAAAATAACCGTGGAGTGCTTTGGTGTCTGAAAACATGTGTAATTGTGTAAAACATGTGTGTGAATTTTTTTTGACATGTACGCACGATATATGTAGCAATCATAATTAACCACATGAAAATTTTGGGTTTGCCACGGTGTTATTTGACATCAATGGTAATCAAATCCATAAAGAGGAGATTGCATATATCTTCTCCATTGGTATATTCACAGTTGAAATAAAACTATGAGAGAGGAATAATTTTCTTTCTGAAAGTACTAGTGCCTTAGTGTCTGAAAATAATCGTGTAAAACATATCTGTCTGAAAATTATTTAGACGGGTGTAATAACTTAAGATTTTTTTGGAAAAATTGACAGTAATAATCCCAACTATTGGTGGTCCGCTCATAATAATCTAACTATCGATTATTTCAAAATAATCCCAACTTTAGGGACCTTCCGCCAATAATGGTGCCTATAAATACATTCATGTAGTTTCTAATGTGGATGAGAAAAGGTATATCAAGTAATCCCTATAAATAATCTCAACTTTTAATTTTTATGCTTAGTTTCTATTTAAAATTCACTTGTTATAGGAGGTAATATCTGGTCATGGATCATTATTGGCGGATGGTCCATATAGTTGGGACTATACAAAAATAATTACTAGTTGGGATTATTATCGGCGGACCGGCAATAATTAAGATTATTATTTTCAATTTTTCCTTTTTTTTTATTTAGTACGGAGTAGTTTTTACTGAAAAAGATAAGTATATAATTTATTGGGCAAAGTTTCTTATTGGAATGACAAAATTGCATAATTCTTCCATAAATTAATGTTCATGCTATCATTTGAAATTGTAGTTTAAATGTGATTTTGAACACCCAAAATATAAGCGCTAGATCCGCCACTGGCCACACATATTTAAACTATCCACGTTTTGTTGTGCGCTTTCCAACTTTCCCCTACTTTATCGTTTTATGCTTATAAAGGAGTGGTACTAACATGTATTTCCTTGAAATTTTTCTTTTATAGGAAAGAGAACTTAACCTGAAGACATCCCCAAATGAAAAGTGAGAACTTTAATGCAGGACATATCAGTGGAATATATACTAGACTGAACCCCAGTAAAAAACTTGGGACATCTGTACAAGAAAACTGGGAGTGCATACACTAGATGCAAACCCAATGATAGGCATCTGATGTGGGATACTAAACATCCAGCCAAAACCTGGTTGGACATCTGATGTGGGATACTAAACATCCAGCCAAAACCAGGTTGGACAACTAAAGGGGTGGATAAATTGCCCCAAACCATGGGCACCCCATAAACCAGCGATGGGTGCTGTGTTAAATTGAGCCTACTCAACTAAAAAATCCTAAGAAAGTGAGGTTTAGATCACACTTAGACTAGATTCAAACCTAGTCTACATCAAATGAGAGACACTTAAAGAAAACTAATTTTTTTATAATTTAGAAGATTTATTATCTGTTGAATGGATTTATTTACCTCAAAAGAAGTAAAGATTGGCGAAACCGTAAGACACTTTTTCCCGGATCATTGAGCAGCATCTGATGAATCACAGCCAATGAACCGATATCATCAACAGAAGACCATCGGTCATAAAGCTGCATCCAGCAATCAGCCGAACTCCATTGTTGGACATGCTGAGCTAGGGTTTCAAGCAAGTGGTCACCTCTCATCTTCCCAAAAAACATCATATAATTCGGCTCCAATGTCAAAAGAGCTCGAATGTCTCTCATGGCAGACTTGTAATCTTCAATAACAATAAAACACCAAGCCCGGAGCTCAAGACAGTCTGGAGATACCTTAAACCCGACAATTCTGTTTATCTCTGATATGGCTGACTCGATCTCGTTTTCTTCCACCATAGCAACAGCTCTGTACTTATACGGGAAAGTAAGTGTGGGGTCCAACTTAGTGGCATCATCCAAATCCGAAATCTTTTGTTTACCCAAAGTGTACAAAGACCGTTCTTGGTACATCCACCCCGTGGGTTTGTAATTTGAAATCAAACCATCAATTGTCTCATAAGATGAAAAACGTTGCCCCTGTTTGCATTTAGTTCTTGCTACTCCTACAGAAGAATATGCATGCCCGGCTTCCACAGCTTCTTCAAAGCAAGATTGAGCTTCTTTATAATCCTTCCTCCCAAACAAGACACAACCTAGCTGGTGAAGTGCAATAGCCTTCTGCCACCTGTCACTAGCACATTCTCTCAATCTCTCCAATAACATTACTGTCACTTTCGACTCCATACTATCCTCCATGGCAACCTGGCTAAGGAAATAATACAAAAGAAAGGAAGAATGTCCTATTGCAGACAACCTCTCCTTAGCTTCACTGCTACAAAATATACTAAAAACTTTGGAGTTGTATAAATAACCAGGGAGCTCTCTGAGCATAACCTGCAAGCAAGAAGCTGCCAGAAGTTGTGCTCTTTCCTCCATGGCATAATCCATAAGAACCAAGGCCTCATCAATGTCGGAAACCATTGAAGCTAAATGACTATCACAAGATGATTTCATTCCTTCACAACAAAATCTATTTGCAAAAGAGAGCATCTCTAGAACTATACTTGGTGGATATGTGGTGTCTAATCTTCCTATCCTACTAAACATATCAACTGCTTTCAGTCCATCCGGAGAAATCCCAATTGGTGTGAAGTCAATTATTTCGTTCTTAGACTCCATGAAATTACCATACAGCATGGTTTCCAAAGGAACTGACAGAGAAGCGAATTTACCTCTGATACACGTGATCACTTCATTGCCAATATAGAAACTTACTTCCCCTTCTTCTTCCGCCGTAGGGAGGGAATTCCCCATGGAGATGCTGAAATCAGATTTGTGATTCAGGGATTGTTGATGACAATTGCAATTATTGAAAACCGAATCCGGGTCATACCCGTGGACCAAAGCGGACTTAGGGCATTCGAGAATTCTGCCAGTGCAATCAAGAGCTGATTTTCCCACCATCTCGTCTTCTCTCCTCTCGTATCTCAACCAAGCGGATAAAACCACCTTGGAATGCACGTCAACTGCGTGTTGGCGGGCCGATTGGAGACACCTCCGATTCAATTTCGGGTCGCCGAGATTACACAACAGAGAGAATTGTTCCAAATACAACGCGGATTTAGCGAAATCTGGACTCTTTTCTAACCTTCGGTAGAGCTCAGCCATGGATTCAACAAAATCGACCGGTTTGAACAAAGGGTCGATTTGGGGCTCGAGAGAAGCAGTCGTGGGAAGTCCAAATGGGAGCAAGGACTCGGCCATTTGCGATGAAACTGTCTCCGGGGACTCTGTGAGGATGGAATTGATTGTGGGTTGGGCCTGATGGTAGTGCTTGGCGGTGCCGGCGGCGGCGGTGCTGGTGGAGCAGTCGGATGAGTTAAGGGCGTGGACTTGGGTATTCTTGCAGCGGTCTTTGAGCTTGAAGCTCGGCATACTGTTGGAGAGCTGATGAAAGCAGTACTGGCGAAATAGATTCAGAAATCTCGATTTGTCGGGCTGTTTGGATTCATCTTCAGGTCTGGAAGAAGACATGAATGAATGAATGAATCTAAAACACTGTTGAAACCCAATAATTATTCGCTCTCATAATAGATTTGAGGCTTTTCCTGTGACTGAGATTTGAGCAGGGAGCGCGATGATGATGATGCGGGCTATAAGGAGTCATCATCCGCCCAAATTCAACAGTTGGGGATGCTTTTTCAATTTGTGTATCTTTCAAGGCTATGGGAAAACGAAAAAAAGGTTAAAAAGAAAAGAATATATGTGGAGTCGGGGATCTAATCTAACCTAATCCAATCAACTGTCGTTGTTTCTCAGTTATTGTTACTCTATTTAATAATGTAATAATGCCAAGCTGTCATATCATGCTGCCTTTGTGATTACTTTTGTTAAGTTCTTCAGAATTTGCACCCCTACTTTAATTTTTCTTACATTTGCAACCTAAAATTGTAATTTACCCTCAAAATCGTAGTCTACATTACAAAATTTTGTCCTCCTTCCTCATTTAAAAGGGGAATTTCATGCCGTAATTTGATAGCATTATTATGATACTCTTAAGAAGGAGATCAAAAGTATGAAATATATCTCAAAAATAAGGGATGTTGACATTTAACATCTTAAGATATTATAATATATTATCTCTGTCCCTTAAAACTTTGCTAAAGTTGACCGGCACGGAGAATAATAAAGTAAAAATTGTGTGTTTGAGGTTTGTGCAGAGGAGAGAGAAATAACATAAACCACAAAACAATTGACTAAAAGGGAAAGTGACAAAGTTTTTTTGGACGTCCCAAAAAGGAAAGATAGTAAAGTTTTAAGGGACGAATGGAGTACTATTATATGTTCTTTAAAAGTCAAAAATAGCGGTTACCAAATGACCCCCAACGAGCTCTCTATCAAAATTCTTGGGGGTCTCTTTGTAGCATCCCAAGAATTTCACGAGTTTCAACCTATTCACCCAAGTTAGGTGTTTGATAAACAAAGTTGATTGATGACACTGATAAACTGAAAACATACGTTACTAAATAAGGATGACAATAGGGGCTGGGGCCCGTGGGAATGTGGGGGGAGTGGGGTGGGTACTGAGTAGTGAGGTGGGACGGGTATGGGGATGGGGCAATTATCCCCCCCCCCCCCCCGCATAAATATGGGGCGTGTGATGGGTTATGTATCCCCGCACCGTCCCCCGTATATACAATGATGATGATGATGATGATGATGCTATTGCTGATGATGATGATGATGATGATGATGATGATGCTGTTGCTGCTGATGATGATGATGATGATAGTATAATGCATCAAACCCCCTCATGATAGAAAGTCATCGCATTAGCCGTGTGATTTGAAAAATGTGTCAAACTCCTTGTATTTTAATTAATCATGCACAGAACATTGTTTTTCACTCCAGGAGGGTCTGGGGGAGGGGGCCTGGGGTAATCAGGACCTCAAAACTCACTTCATTGAGTTTCGAACCCTTATGTGCCTAGCGGGTTTCGAACTCGAGACCTTCCACTAGGCACGGTAACCTCACAACTAGCTGGGCTGGAATGCTTGGTTTAATCATGCACATAACCCCTATTATGATTAAATTTAACAATTTCAAAATCATTTTTCCTAATATTTTGATTGAATATGCAAGTAAATATGTCAAAATCTCTGAATCACACAAAAATGTTAATCATTTTCTTTTATTTGACAATTGAATTTGTTGGCTTAAGAATATGATGGAATAAAGCAAAATGGAGCCAAAGATTCATTATTTTTTGGCTTGAGAATATGATGGAATAAAGCAAAATGGTTCACTAAAATGTCTGCGCCTCTTTGTTATGAAGCAGCAGACAGTCCATGCAATTTTGAACGTGATTTTCACTATGGGTCATCCGGAAATAGTATCTCTGTGCTTTAGTATAGGGGTAAGACTCCGTACATCTGACCCCACGTATCCCACCGTAGGTGGGATCCTTTGCGGCACTGGGGTAAATGAAAATGATGAAACGATGATGACAATTCAATTTGTTCATAGAAGGGATTTGGCGCATAATTAATTGAAACACAAGGGGGTTTGACGCATTTTTTAAATCACAATGGGCTAATGCGCCGAATTTCCATATCACGGGGGGTTTGGTGCACTAAACCCTAATAATAATGATAATAATGATGACAATAATGATAACAACAACAACAACAATAATAATAATTATAATAATACTAATAATACAAAGTAATTAAAATAGCCTGGTAGCCTGGTGGGTTTAGTAGGTTCCTGTCTAATGGGCTTTGCCTAATGGGTTCTGGCTAAATGCCTAATATGTCAAAGAATAAATAATACGGAGTAAAAGTAAAAATTTGAAAATGTTTAATCTTAAGTCTAATCGATTAACTCTAACCTCGCTTTTGCTTATGTTTTTATTTCATCCATTCACTCTCTCCCTCTGAAAGCTAGTTTCAGGAATGTATTCTATCTCAAAGCTACAAATTTTAAAATTGGTTTATTCAGCCGCATCAAATGCTAGTTACACTATGGCTGCAAATAAAGCAAATATGTTACTTTTGAATTCAAGTATTCAAATCGATCACAGGAATAAGACTTATTATAACTTATAATAAAAGGACCTTTAGACTTTAGTTTTAACTTTAAACAGCCACCACTAAAAAGACAAAGGGAGGGGATAAGGATAGGAATCTACTAGTTTTTTGGGGATAGTAAAAAAACAACGAGATTATGGAAGTCAATATTCTTGCATTTATTGTCTTTTTTAGCAATAAATATCTTTCACATCCAGTAATAACCTGTTAAAAAAAGACTCGATCTAATCCAGGAATGCGGAGAGTTTGAGAAACTAAACTACATCGCTTAAGCTGCAGTGCCTAACTACTAAAGACGGAGAATACTTGGTCTAGTGTTGAACCCGATCGCGAGCTTTACATCAGTTGATAGTTCGACAGCCGGATAGCTAAGGTTTGTGTTCCTTTTAGTCGTTTTGCTCACTTTTGTTTATCTTCTTCATCTTATTATTCTTTTTCTTTCCCATAAAATAAGAAATAGATACCATATTGTTTATCTTCTCTCGGTAGAATCAAAGGACAAAAGGAGCGGAGTCTGCCCCGTTTTTTTCATGCCTTGGTCCATTGGTGCAATCTTTCTCAAGCAACATACTTTGTGTCTTCTGTTCCTTGCTATCTTAATATATTGGCACAATCAATGCTCATAAAGTGTTTGATAAAATGACTCAATCAAAACGCTTATAATGTGTTCTAGATTTAAAACAGGATGTAAGATTACATTGACTCTTTAAATCTAAATGAGTTTTTTGGCTATTAGATGTGTTGTTTAATTTTTGAAAAATTGTCTATAGTGGCGTTTAGTTATTTTTAAAAGATGGAGTTATTTTTTTTACTAGTTCTATAGAGTGGTGTTTAGTTAACTCTTTTTCTAAAGAGCATTTAGTTAACTTAATTGTTTGATTATTATTTTTGTAAAATTGTTATTTTTAATGGATGAGCTAGAAAATGTCATCTTGCCTGAACAAGATAAAGTCTCAACTGCTACCCAAACATTAATTGTTGAGTCAGCTGAAATAGTAGACATAGGAGAAGATGGATATGATATTCACAATGGTAAAAGGAAACTGAAGTCTAAAGCTTGGAATAATTTTGATAGAGAGAAAGGTGAAGATGGTATCTATTATGGTGTCTGTAAGCACGGTAAGAAAAGATACAAAACTTGTATCAAACGTATGACAAGTTCCATTCTTGATCACGTAAAAAGGTGTGCTAAAAGGCCTAAATGAGATATAGGATAAACGTTACTAAGGGGTCTTCATAAAAAACGTGATATCACTATACAATTGCAGATTCACGTTTTTTATCAACAATTCTAACGTGATGAACTTGTGTAAGCAATTATATTGCATGAATATCCTTTGTCAATTGTTGAAAATATAGGCTTTCGCAATTTTTTGAAAAGTGTGCAGCCTTGTTTTGCAATGGTTCCAAGAAATACAATTAAAGTGCATGTCATGAAGATGTATGCTTTGCATAAAGTCCAAAACTGTGATTTGTTTGAAAAACTGGGAAGCAATGCAACAATCACAACTAACATGTGGACATGTAATCACACAAGAAAGGGTTCATGGCCATTACCGCACATTTTATTGATGATGCATAGACTTTACAAAGTCAAATACTCGGGTATGTTTTTTAAGAATTCAAATATTCTACTAATTTATGTACAAATCAGTATATTCTTTTTTTCTTACTTAGGTTTGTTTATGTTCTCGCTCCACACAATAAGGAAGCATTGAGTGAGGTGCTTCTTAGTTCATTGATGGATTGGAACATTGATCGTAACGTGTCAACTATTACTTTAGATAATTGTACTACCAATGATGCAATAATTTGTTACTTGTTGGATAAGTTAAGTTTGGATGATATGGTCATGGGTGGTAAGACACTTCACATGCGATGTGCTGCTCATATTCTGAATTTGATTGTTAAGGACGGTTTAGATGTTGTATTTAATGTTGTTGAGAGCATTCGCACTAGTGTTGTATATTGGACAACTTCTACAGGCCGAATTGAAAATTTTGAAGAAACTGCCGTCAGTTACGCATTCCTTGTTCAAAAAAGCTGATCTTAGATTGCAAAACATGTTGGAATTCGACTTTTATAATGTTGAAAACTGCTTCACTATATAAAGATGTATTTCCACGAGTTAAGGTTCGTGAGAAACACTATACTAGTTTGCCTAGTGATGAGAAATGGATCCGTTGTGATGAAATTTGTGAAAAGCTGAAAATGTTCTTCCAAATAACTAAAATGTTTTCTGGAACTCAATATCCTACATCCAAAGAATTTTTTGCAAAAGTTTGTGATATTAGAATATCTTTGGCGCTATGGATGAAGAGGTCTAACATTATAATAAAGGCTATGGCAAAGAGGATGATGGGAAAATATAAGAAATATTGGAAAGATTGTAATGTCATCCAAGGTGTTGCTGCGGTTTTAGATCCGAGGTACAAGATGAAACTGATTCAATATTTTCCTATCATTTATGGTGTCATGTCTTCAGTGAAAGTTGAAGAAATTTGTCGAAATTGTTACTATTTGATGCTTAATTATAAATCTCAATCCAACTTGGGTGAAGTTAGGGGAACAAGTGATTCTGCTACTGGGAGTACAAGTATGAATGAAACACATGTAGACCCACTTTCTAATT